GTGGAGACACAACTTTGTCCTTGGAGGCAAAGATGGGAATGTATGAGAGTATAGTTTTACCAACGGTCTTATACGGGTGTGAAGCATGGGTGATGAATGTTGCAGCGAGGAGAAGGCTGGAGGCAGTGGAGATGTCATGTCTGAGGGCAATGTGTGGTGTGAATATAATGCAGAGAATTCGTAGTTTGGAAGTTAGGAGGAGGTGTGGGATTACCAAAACTGTTGTCCAGAGGGCTGAGGAAGGGTTGTTGAGGTGGTTCGGACATGTGGAGAGAATGGAGCGAAACAGAATGACTTCAAGAGTGTATCAGCCTGTAGTGGAAGGAAGGCGTGGTAGGGGTCAGCCTAGGAAAGGTTGGAGGGAGGGGGTAAAGGAAGTTTTGTGTGCAAGGGGCTTGGACTTCCAGCAGGCATGCGTGAGCGTGTTTGATAGGAGTGAATGGAGACATTGTTTTTAATACTTGACGTGCTGTTGGAGTGTGAGCAAAGTAACATTTATGAAGGGATTCAGGGAAACCGGCAGGCCGGACTTGAGTCCTGGAGATGGGAAGTACAGTGCCTGCACTCTGAAGGAGGGGTGTTAATGTTGCAGTTTAAAAACTGTAGTGTAAAACACCCTTCTGGCAAGACAGTGATGGAGTGAATGATGGTGAAAGTTTTTCTTTTTCGGGCCACCCTGCCTTGGCAGGAATCGGCCAGTGTGTTAATAAAAAAAATAATTAATGATAATAATAATACTGTAATAACTAACAGTAATAATACCGTTTATTGTTTTACAGAGTGAGAGCTTAAAAAAAAAGAACCTGGTGTAATTTGTTAGAGCTAAAATGATGCAAAATTGTTTTCCTTTTTTAATGAGTTATGAGAGAGGGGAGGGTATTGATGTACCTCTACTCCTTTACATTTTTTGACCAAGATATCATATTTTCTGTTTTGCTGGAAATAATTGAAGAAGGTGGCTACACACAGTAGCAGGTGAAATTAAATTTTTTTATTTGTAAATTATAGGATAAAAACACATTATAGGAGGTGCCCAAGTTACGAACATATGCCTCTTGAGGGAGGTTCCTTGATGCCAGTGAGGGGGGAGGAGTGGGCTCTGACTTCAAAAAATTAAACTTGCCCTTCTCTTCCCTGGCTTGCACCTGATTACCTTCTATTCTCCAAACACTACTTGGCCCATATGGGTTTAGTACCCCTTATGGGTTCTTGATGAGCTGTTTGAGTGTGAGAAGGGTAATAATTTGTGAAAGAATTTTGGAAAACTGGTTAGCCAGACTTGAGTCCTGGAGGTGGGAAGTACAATTCCTGCACTTTAAAGGAGGAGTTTGGAATATTTGCTATTGGGAGTGATATCTGAACTGTCGTATCCTGGTGCCTCTGCAAATACAGTGATTATGTGTGAATGATGGTGAAAGTGTTTCTTTCCAGGGTTACCCTGCCACGGTAAGAGATAGCCGAAGTGTTGGAAAAAATTACACTTACAAACGGGGAACTTTGGATCCAAATAAACTTTTATAGTGCTATTCACTACGAATATGTGTGGAACCAATTAAACAAAAACTATTGAGTTGAAACACTAGGAATGTCACTTGTTTGTAAATTTGAAAACCTGTATATGGATAGGAGGCAGGAGGTAACGGGCACATTTCTTTACCATAGACAGGCAGGCAATACAGAGATTAATTCAGTTATTGGGATGCATACTAGATTTGACTCCTAGGTAAGGCACTATTGAGTTAGGACCATTATCTTATGAAATAGTTATTATGTACAAACTGCTTCCAGTCAAAAATTGTACTAAAAATTTACCTCACTGTATTATACACTGTACTGTAGAATTGATACAGTACTGTAACACAGCAAGCTATCATGTAGCGACCAGGGTGTGTTCCATAGATATTGTTTAAGTGAATTTGTATTAAGCGAATCTCGATCTCTATCTCTCTCTATCTCTATCTCTCTCTGTCTCTATCTATCTCTATCTCTATCTCTCTCTCTGTCTCTCTGTCTCTCTCTGTCTCTATTTATGTCTCTATCTCTCTCTTTCTCTCTCTGTCTCTATCTCTCTCTGTCTCTATCTCTCTCTGTCTCTCTCTATCTATCTATCTATCTCTATCTCTCTCTATTTCTCTCTATCTCTATCTCTCTCTATCTCTCTCCATCTCTCTATCTCTCTCTATCTCTATCTCTCTATCTCTCTATCTATCTCTCTATCTCTCTCTCTTTCTAAGACAGTATTTTAAACCAGAGATGCATTGCTGGATAATAATAATCTGCATCTAATTTCAGTTTTTTTAAATTTTCATTTAAAATCAGTGGTCCCTGCTACGAGTTTAATTATTCCATGCCCCAGTTATATCTAAATTTGCTTGTATGTCAATAATTTTCCTATTGAAAAAATTAAAATGTCTTTAAATCTGTTCCAGCCCCCAAAAAAAAAGCCCCAATTTTTTTGTTGGGTTTTTAAATAAGCCTTTTTTACCAGGTCCCAAAAAATTTTTTAGAAATGCTGGAGATATTGAAACCCCTTGATGCGGGGTGAAAAGATGTCACTCCACTGGCAGTGAAGTGACCTCGTGGTTGAATTGATGATTGTGCACCCCCTTGGGCTTTATTTTTCATTTTTACAAAAACATGTCTATCTGTTTGTTTCTGTCTGTCTGTCATCCCTCCCAGCGGAGGGGGCACTTGGAGTGCATTTATGTTTGTCACTGCCTTGGATTTATTTTTCAGTTACAAATAAATAACTGTTTCTGTTTTTTTTTGTATTGTTTTTTAAAATTTGTTGTTAGCCTTTTTTGTTTATCTCTTCTCGTTTATCTCTGTCTCTGTTTTTTGTCTTTCTGTCTTCCTGTCTTCTATTGTCTTCTGTTCAGAGAGAGAGAGTGCTCATTGACCAACGGGTTTAAAACACCATGCAGGTCGTCACGTCCCTCCCAGTCACCCCGGGTCATTCCTAACCCCCTTCCCATCCACCTCAGATTTATAAACCCTCTTGGGTGTAAAAATCTTTCTTTCATCCTTCTAAATGCCCAGCTTTAGCACCCCTTATTGCCCCCTGAAATATACTTTTATACCCCCCAAAACCCCTTCAAATTTTATATGAAATTAATGCTTTAAGTTATTCTCTTTAAGATATGAAAAAAAAGCACACAATTTGGGGATAACAGCAAGACCCCATGAATCCTTCGACCCTGCTTGAAGCGTCGGAAATGAAGAATTTTTAAGGGCAAAGCGGCCTCCTACGAGCATTTGCACTCTCTGAAAGACGATCCGAACACTGTGAGCCCACGACTAAAAAACGATGATCAAGGGATATGGTAGACAAGCAACTCACAAAATCATTGATCAGTATTTGGTGGTATTTAAAAGTCTGGTGAGTGTTGGTTATATATTTTTTTTACATTTCCCCCAAATTATTTGGAAACCTTTGTTTTTGTCTTTTATGCTGGGGACAAATTTTTTTCAGATGTAAAAATATGCTTTTGGAGGTGGCGGGTAATATTTTGTAAAGGGATTCAGTTTCAGTTACCGGATTGGTCTGGAAATGGGAAGTCAATGCCGGGTTTTTAAAAGGGGGGTTTTGGGGTATTGGACTTTGGAGGGCATCTAAAATGTCATATTGGGGCCCTCTGAAAGACAGTGATTTTGTATGAGTGATGGTGAAAGTGTTAAAGATAATAAAAGTTTTTTTTTCTTTTTGAGTCACCTGCCTTACTGTATATTCAAAAATTTAACTAGATGTGCGGGGGAGTAAATTATTTGTGTTGTATTGGAATGAGGTACAGGGTAAATTGAAAAAACCAAAGGGAGAAAGCTAGTTCAGTCAACCCCCAAGCCCTGTAGAGGGGGGGTATTTTTTAATGGTCAGTATTCAGAGCCCAGGTGGAAAAAGTTATTATTGGCTTTTTTGTCAAAAAACCAGTGTCCAGGGGAAACTGAAATCTTCCTCTCAAACTCCTTATAGTAGTGGGCTTTGTGAGGTGGTATAAAGAGGGGCATGCACTGAGTGTGCCCTGTAGCTTTCTTTGCAGATGGGCCAAATAGATTTTTAGACAGCAGCCATCAAGGGGGGTTTTCTGCTGCCAGGAGTGCAGATGGAAATATCCTATTTTTTTTTACTCTGACAGGGGGTTTCTGATCTTTTCTGGCAAAAACTAAAATAACAGGTTAAAAACTTACAAATTATGTTGCATTCTTTTAGACTACCCTTTTCTTCCCCGCATGCTTCTTAATAGTTCTTTATTGTAAGATTTTTATTTCTAATGTGGAGACCGGCCCTGGGGAAGATAAACCAGGGTAAATATAAAAAGTGGTCTTAAAAGGGAAAAGACTTAAAAATTATTTGTGAGAAAATCCCCTGCTTATAAACAATCAGAAATTACAATTTTGTTTTAAAAGATGAGCTGGTATTCGTTCATTCCCATGTTTTTGGGGCCACGAAAATTTAGTCAATTTTTTTAAATAAAAAAATTAAAAAGTAAAATAAATTTGGGGTAAAAAAAAAAAAAAATTTTTATTCAAAATCTATGCAATGGGGAAAAACTTTCTAATTTTATAATCCTTGTAGGAGGTTGGTTTTGAATGTCCATAGAAACTGATCTTCTTGGGTGTTTCCCCATAGTGACTTAGCAGCCTTGCACAGTTGTTTTTTTTTTTTAAAAACATTGGCCATCTCCACCCGGGGAGGGTGTTTAGTTGATTTAAATTTTTTAATTAGTTGTTCTTAGTGGCAAAAGGAACATCACTTTATTTCAATTTATATTCAAAGATTCTTTGTTTCTTTTTCTTTAATAAATGAATATAACAGTTCATTGGAGTGACTGGATTCAAACTCTTTCTGAAATGCAGTGGATTGGTAATTTCAGGTCTCATGTTCAAATCTTGGCATTCCATTGAATTCCTCTTTATGTTCAGTTAAACGTTGGGACAGGTGTTTTTTTCCCAAAAAATATGTATTCTTTTCACACATCTTAAATCTTTGTTCACCATTTCAGTATTCTGCGAAGAATGTCACTGGTCTTCACAAGTATTTGAGCCAATGATGGATCTTTCACTTCCAATTACTGAAGAAAAGGTACAAACATAATGATTACTAACTAAATTTCTAACATTTATTTCAAGTATGTGGTATAATGATAATTTTTTTTCTAACACTTTTGTATGGGGGGTGAGGGTGGTTTTGAATATTCGCAAAGGGTGATGTAATGGAAGTTGGATGTCATATTTGGATCAGTTTGTGTTTTAAATTTTGCACAGAAAAAAAGTAGAAATTGAAGATGATGTATTATTTTATTTAATTTTTTTTAAACACTGGCCGATTCCCCCCAAGGGAGGGTTTGGCCCGAAAAAAAAAAAATTTCACCCCTCATTCACTCCCTCCTGTTTGCCGAAGGGTGCTTTACATACAGTTTTTAAAATGCAAAATTAACACCCCCCCTTCGAGGCAGGCACTGACTTCCCCTTCCAGGGGCTCAAATCCCCGCCTGCCGGTTTCTGAAACCCTTTTTAAAAGTTACTTTCTCCACTCCAACAGCACTTCAAGTTAAAAACCCTTTGTCTCCATTCACTCCTATAAAACACGCTCACGCATGCCCGTGGGAAATCCGCCCCCCACACAAAACCTCCTTACCACCTCCCTCCAACCCTTTTTAGGCCCACCCCTACCCCCCCCTTCCTTCCATAAGACTGATACACTCTTGAAACCTTCTGTTTTTTCCATTCTTTCATGTCCGAACCACCTCAACAACCTTCCTCAGCCCTCTGGACAAAATTTTGGTAATCCCACACCCCCTTCCCAATTCCAAAAATACGAATTCTTGCTTATTTCACACCCACATTGCCCCTGACATGCATCTCCACTGCCTCCGCCTTCTCCTTGTGCAACATTATCACCCTGCTTCACACCATATAAGAGCGTTGGTTAAAAAATATACAGTGGACCCCCCCTGTACAGTCAGCTCCCCAATGTGCCAATTTTGTAAGTGTATTTATATAAAAGGGATTTGTACATGATGTTTTGGGGGCTGAAATGGACTAATTAATTCAAATTTCCCTTTTGGAACAAATGTTCAGTAATGGCACCTGAACAACTTCGGGAATAAAATAAATCAAAAACCCGGGGGGCCCAAATTCTCTCATACATTCCCCTCTTTGCCTAAAGGACAAAGTTCTTTGTCTCCACAGATCCAAAGTGCTCGCTCCCCTTTTTTCCCCCCTCATCAATTCGAAATTCCCCACTTTCATAGACCCTCCTTGAACTCCCTCCCAAATTCTGTACTTTTACTCCTCTACTCTCTCCCCCCAAATCTGAACCAATCTTTCATCACCTAATTTTTTTTTATCCTCTAACCTTACTTTTTCCCTGTATTCACTTTTAATTTTCTTCTTTTGCATCCCCTCCCAAAATTTCATCCCCAAACCTCTCAATTTCTCTTAGAATCTCCCAAGAGCCAGTGTCATCACAAAAGAACGTGAAACTCCCACTTTATGGTGTTTTCTTTATTTTTTAACTCCACGCCCTTGCCATGCCCCGCATTTACACCTTACAACCCCCTCTATAAATTTAAATTAAACAAACATAGTGCATCCACATCCCTTTTCTAAAAGGCTTTCTTTACTGGGAAATAATCTCCCTCTTTCCCACAAGGTGTAGAAGTAGGAAAAAATAATTCAAGAAAAGGGATGGATTGTTGAGATGGGTTTGGTCATTTTGGGCAGTTTTTTAAAAAGATTTTCCCCTTAAAACCTTTTAGATGGAAGGAGGATAGGGAGACATCCTGGGATGAGTTTAAAGAATTTAGATGGGAATGGGGTCAGTGCATCACTTGAATAATGGGTGGGGAGGATGCCATTAACCCCCTTTTAGGGTTTTCGGTACTAGTACGTTTTACGCGTAGGGGTTTTTGACGTACTAGTACTCTAAATTCTAGCGGCCTCAAATCTAGTGGGAGAAACTGGTAGGGCCTTTTAAAAGAAAGAATGGGGGGGGGGGGGCTATGTGGTCAGTGTGACATCAAAAAAAATCCTGAGCAAAAGTGCATTTTAAAAAAAAAAAAAAATTTGCCCTTTTTTTTTTAATAATCCACGATTTGCAGGATTTTTTGTTGGGGATTTATTTTTTTTGTTTCAGTTTTTCTTGGTCTCATTTTTAGAAAAGGAAGAATATTACAGAAATTGAGATGATTTGACTGGTTTTGCAAAGAAAGGTGCCTTGAAATTGAGCTCAAAGTAGCAGAAATGTTCGATTTTTACCAAACTTCAAAAGTAATCAAATCGTGCCAAGCGTGCAATACACGTCAATTGGTGAGTCTAATATTCTTTCACAAGTGCACCAATAATATTTATACCATTTTTTACAATAATGCAGTAGTCTGCATAACCAGTAAATCTTATATTTTTTTGTGAAAATAAAAATTCAAAGTGGAAAGCAAAAGAATATAAGAGGGGACTTGAGACATGACTAATGACTAGAGGAAATGTCATTTTAGTGCCAGGAATGTCTTTCTTGTTTATTCTGGACCCTATTCCGAAATTGGCATCTTTTGAAATTGTGTTGTGAAATTGGCAAAATTGCTAAATTCTGACCACTGTACTGGATAGTTGAATTTCATAAATGAGTGGTTTCTTGCATCCATTCGATAGAAAAAATGGAGTTCTAGCGAAATATTCATGTTTTTTGTTGACTAGTACAGTGAAATTGGCCGAAAATGGGGCTCAAAGTGGGCAAAATCGCCGATGCGTAAACATCGCCGAGACCGCTAACTTTGCGAGAGCATAATTCCGTAAGTTTTCTATCAAATTTCAAACTTTTGGTGTTTTTATGATCGGGAAAAGATTCTCTATCTTTTCATAAGAGAAAATAATTTTTTTTTTTTTAATTTGGCCGACCCTGAGAACGAGTTTCGGAGAGGGCCTGTTGACCCTCAAAGGGTTAAGAGGGCCATTTGAATAGTGATGTTTGCACAGTTTTTAAATAAATGAAGGTGATCAGGATTTCTTTAGAGTATCTATGTGATAAAAGAGAATTCATAGTGAAAGGTACGACTCTGCTGTGCACACTACCGTACAATGTTGCAATTGTGTCATAAAAGGGGTGATTGGGCTCCCGCCTAAAAGTGCCCATTATCCGAGTAGTATTCAAAATATATACTAAACAAAATTTACCTATTTGGAAATTATTTGCTAGTCAAATAGTTTGGAAACTACTTGGATAATGGGCACTGTAGATGATGGTATAATTACTCCTTACGTGGCACAGTTGCTCTATTATATGGTATACATGTACTTTAGGTAGTAGGTTGGTAGACAGCAACCACCCAGGGAAGTACTACCGTCCTGCCAGATGACTGTGAAACAAAAACCTGTAACTGTTTTGCATGATGGTAGGATTGCTGGTTTCTTTTTCTGTCTCATAAACACGCTAAGATAACAGGGATATCTTGCTACTCCTACTTACACTTTGGTCACACTTCATAGACACGCACATGCATATATATATATATACATACATCTAGGTTTTTCTCCTTTTTCTAAATAGCTCTTGTTCTTTTTATTTCTTCATTGTCCATGGGGAAGTGGAAAAGAATCTTTCCTCCGTAAGCCATGCGTGTCGTATGAGGCGACTAAAATGCCGGGAGCAATGGGCTAGTAACCCCTTCTCCTGTATACAATTACTAAAAAAGAGAAGAAGAAAAACTTTATAAAACTGGGTTGCTTAAATGTGCGTGGATGTAGTGCGGATGACAAGAAACAGATGATTGCTGATGTTATGAATGAAAAGAAGTTGGATGTCCTGGCCCTAAGCGAAACAAAGCTGAAGGGGGTAGGAGAGTTTCAGTGGGGGGAAATAAATGGGATTAAATCTGGAGTATCTGAGAGAGTTAGAGCAAAGGAAGGGGTAGCAGTAATGTTAAATGATCAGTTATGGAAGAGAAAAGAGAATATGAATGTGTAAATTCAAGAATTATGTGGATTAAAGTAAAGGTTGGATGCGAGAAGTGGGTCATAATAAGCGTGTATGCACCTGGAGAAGAGAGGAATGCAGAGGAGAGAGAGAGATTTTGGGAGATGTTAAGTGAATGTATAGGAGCCTTTGAACCAAGTGAGAGAGTAATTGTGGTAGGGGACTTGAATGCTAAAGTAGGAGAAACTTTTAGAGAGGGTGTGGTAGGTAAGTTTGGGGTGCCAGGTGTAAATGATAATGGGAGCCCTTTGATTGAACTTTGTATAGAAAGGGGTTTAGTTATAGGTAATACATATTTTAAGAAAAAGAGGATAAATAAGTATACACGATATGATGTAGGGCGAAATGACAGTAGTTTGTTGGTTTAAATGTATTGGTAGATAAAAGACTGTTGAGTAGACTTCAGGATGTACATGTTTATAGAGGGGCCACAGATATATCAATCACTTTCTAGTTGTAGCTACACTGAGAGTAAAAGGTAGATGGGATACAAGGAGAATAGAAGCATCAGGGAAGAGAGAGGTAAAGGTTTATAAACTAAAAGAGGAGGCAGTTAGGGTAAGATAATAACAGCTATTGGAGGATAGATGGGCTAATGAGAGCATAGGCAATGGGGTCGAAGAGGTATGGGGTAGGTTTAAAAATGTAGTGTTAGAGTGTTCAGCAGAAGTTTGTGGTTACAGGAAAGTGGGTGCAGGAGGGAAGAGGAGCGATTGGTGGAATGATGATGTAAAGAGAGTAGTAAGGGAGAAAAAGTTAGCATATGAGAAGTTTTTACAAAGTAGAAGTGATGCAAGGAGGGAGAGTATATGGAGAAAAAGAGAGAAGTTAAGAGAGTGGTGAAGCAATGTAAAAAGAGAGCAAATGAGAGAGTGGGTGAGATGTTATCAACAAATTTTGTGAAAATAAGAAAAAGTTTTGGAGTGAGATTAACAAGTTAAGAAAGCCTAGAGAACAAATGGATTTGTCAGTTAAAAATAGGAGAGGAGAGTTATTAAATGGAGAGTTAGAGGTATTGGGAAGATGGAAGGAATATTTTGAGGAATTGGGTTTAAATGTTGATGAAGATAGGGAAGCTGTGATTTCGTGTATAGGGCAAGGAGGAATAACATCTTGTAGGAGTGAGGAAGAGTCAGTTGTGAGTGTGGGGGAAGTTCGTGAGGCAGTAGGTAAAATGAAAGGGGGTAAGGCAGCCGGGATTGATGGGATAAAGATAGAAATGTTTAAAAGCAGGTGGGGATATAGTTTTGGAGTGGTTGGTGCAATTATTTAATAAATGTATGGAAGAGGGTAAGGTACCTAGGGATTGGCAGAGAGCATGCATAGTTCCTTTGTATAAAGGCAAAGGGGATTAAAAGAGGCTAGTGCAAAAATTATAGGGGGATAAGTCATGAACAAGGAGGCTTTAGGAAAGGTAGGGGGTGTGTGGACCAGGTGTTTACAGTGAAACATATAAGTGAACAGTATTTAGATAAGGCTAAAGAGGTCTTTGTGGCATTTATGGATTTGGAAAAGGCGTATGACAGGGTGGATAGGGGGGCAATGTGGCAGATGTTGCAAGTGTATGGTGTAGGAGGTAGGTTACTGAAAGCAGTGAAGAGTTTTTACGAGGATAGTGAGGCTCAAGTTAGAGTATGTAGGAAAGAGGGGAATTTTTTCCCAGTAAAAGTAGGCCTTAGACAAGGATGTGTGATGTCACCGTGGTTGTTTAATATATTTATAGATGGGGTTGTAAGAGAAGTAAATGTGAGGGTCTTGGCAAGAGGCGTGGAGTTAAAAGATAAAGAATCACACACAAAGTGGAGAGTTGTCACAGCTGCTCTTTGCTGATGACACTGTGCTCTTGGGAGATTCTGAAGAGAAGTTGCAGAGATTGGTGGATGAATTTGGTAGGGTGTGCAAAAGAAGAAAATTAAAGGTGAATACAGGAAAGAGTAAGGTTATGAGGATAACAAAAAAGATTAGGTGATGAAAGATTGAATATCAGATTGGAGGGAGAGAGTATGGAGGAGGTGTAACGTATTCAGATATTTGGGAGTGGACGTGTCAGCGGATGGGTCTATGAAAGATGAGGTGAATCATAGAATTGATGAGGGAAAAAGAGTGAGTGGTGCACTTAGGAGTCTGTGGAGACAAAGAACTTTGTCCTTGGAGGCAAAGAGGGGAATGTATGAGAGTTATAGTTTTACCAACGCTCTTATATGGGTGTGAAGCGTGGGTGATGAATGTTGCAGCGAGGAGAAGGCTGGAGGCAGTGGAGATGTCATGTCTGAGGGCAATGTGTGGTGTGAATATAATGCAGAGAATTCGTAGTTTGGAAGTTAGGAGGAGGTGCGGGATTACCAAACTGTTGTCCAGAGGGCTGAGGAAGGGTTGTTGAGGTGGTTCGGACATGTAGAGAGAATGGAGCGAAACAGAATGACTTCAAGAGTGTATCAGTCTGTAGTGGAAGGAAGGCGGGGTAGGGGTCGGCCTAGGAAGGGTTGGAGGAGGGGGTAAAGGAGGTTTTGTGTGCGAGGGGCTTGGACTTCCAGCAGGCATGCGTGAGCGTGTTTGATAGGATGTGAATGGAGACAAATGGTTTTTAATACTTGACGTGCTGTTGGAGTGTGAGCAAAGTAACATTTATGAAGGGATTCAGGGAAACCGGCAGGCCGGACTTGAGTCCTGGAGATGGGAAGTACAGTGCCTGCACTCTGAAGGAGGGGTGTTAATGTTGCAGTTTAAAAACTGTAGTGTAAAGCACCCTTCTGGCAAGACAGTGATGGAGTGAATGATGGTGAAAGTTTTTCTTTTTCGGGCCACCCTGCCTTGGTGGGAATCGGCCGGTGTGATAATAAAATAAAATAAACATGTACTTTAGAAATTTTGTTGTTAGGCTTCAGTTCTTGCTCTACTACTGTATTCCACAAATACACTTCACTTTGTTTACAAAATATGGAGCAACTAATTCAGTTGTAAGCCTTCCAAATAGTGGTACATGTAGAAGTGTGTGTTCAAGATTTCTTGAAACACTATAGAATACTTGTAACCACTTCACTCTAGTATTTTATGACAAACATAAAAAATGTAAAGTAAAAGGACACAAGTGCAACTAATGTGACATTTTATTGTGGCAACGTTTCGCTCTCCAGGAGCTTGACAAAGCTCCACAGGTTCGATACCCTTGGTTTCAGTTATCCACAGTTTACCATGGCCTGAAAATAACCATTAATTTTGCTTAGTAATGGCCCCCAAGTGCAAAAGTAGTGATGGTGGAAGTTCTTCAAAGCCTAAGAGAAGCTGTGACGTGCTTCCCATCATTGAAAAAGTGGTAATTCTCCAATTATTGTGCATAATTTATCAGTTAAACCATATAATAAGTATGTATAAGATTTGTATATTGGGTTCACTACTATCCGTGATGTCAATATCTGCAGCAGGTGCTTGGAGCGTATCCCCCCACAGATACGGGAGGTCCTACTGTATAGCCTGCAAAGATTATTAAAAATTAATATTTTTATATAATACAGTATTTTTACAAAAATGCAAATCCAAATTCTGTATTAATCGTTTCAGTGTCGTAGAATAATAATGAGAATTTCAACGTTGGTTACTTAGTGATAGAAGCAGTACTAAGTTTCATGAAATTTTGAATTTTTATTTTCAAGGACTCTGCGTTGTCTTTTCCTCTACTTAGTCAGTTCCTTTAACTATGTACTAAACCGGTTATTTTGTCCATGTTTGCCTTTGTCTTTCTATGCTGATTTTCTTATTTTCTTCACTAATATATCATTGCTTATATTTTTCTTCGTATTTTTCCTCCCATGTATACATCTTTGTCCCTTTCTGTGATTTGTTTTATTCACTCACACTTATGTTCTGCATATTCTCACATTCTAACTTCTCAATCAAGCACACTCCACCTGCTTCATTTATGTGACAGCTTAATCAGTATGTGGTATTCTTTAAACAGGTTTCTTCATGTTAGGTAAGGTTTGTCAGGAAATAGGACAAGTGTTTCCTGACACAGGTCTTAGTCATATGATGACCTGCAGCTAGAGCTTTTGGTCATTTGACAGAGGCCTTCTGCTGGCTTACCAGTTAACCCCTTTAAAAAATTATAGTTATGATTATAACCAACCTTAAGTACTTTTTCTCCATGGGCTCCATTAATACTTGTAGAAGAAAAGTTCTCAAAAGAGAGACAAATATCAGAGAAATTTTTTTTGCCATGCACTAATATCTCACTTAAAAGTGTTACTATTAGAATTTTTATGATGTAACAAATATAATTTCTTTTGTTGCAGAAGTATGGTCAGGTGGATAATTTAAATTACTTATAGTTTTTCTGAGGCCTACAAAGAATTAAGTAATTCTTATGCAGATTAAAATTTGTGAGATATATTTTTTCCATGTTTGCATACTAATTACTTTCAAAACATTAGTAATTTAATGATCATTTAGCTGGTCAATAATTTTTATCTTTTTTTCTCGTGTTTCAGGGGAAGCCCAAAAAAGTGTCTCCAGATGAGGAGAGTGTGTTTGACTGTTTTGGTCGACCTGCTACCAGTAACGCTCCCTCAAAATATCAATCCAAAAAGCAGAAAAGAGCAGAAAAAAAGAAACACCGAAACACAAAAAGACAAAACAAAGGTGGAAGTTTGGCGCCATCTTGCATGCGAGCAAATACAGAAGATAATGAAGAAGAATCAGGAAAAGTCAAAGTATTAAAAAACGAAAGAGCGGAAAGGCGAATTACTGAGAAGAGTCGACCCGAAGATGTTGAGGAGAGAGCAAAGAAGGAGGAGGAGAATAAAGCTAATGAAAAGGAGGCAATGGGAGAAAAGAAAAGAGGCGAGAGTTCAAAGTTTAAGCAATTAATGGCAGCAAGAAAGGTTGGGAGAAGAGACAAAGAAGAAAGTGATGGGGAAGAGAGTGATGAAGACTCTGACTCTGACATGGAAGAGGAAGAGGAAGCAGAAGATTTCCTGTTGGGAAAGGGTGATGATGCAAAGAAGACCAGTGTGGCAGCTTCCTCAAGTATAAATGAAGATAAAGTGTGTGAGGAGATAGTGAACAAGACAGAAATAAACAAAAAGGGTAATGAAACCAAGAAAATCACAGAAATGGAGAAAGCTGACATTAAAGGAAAAGAGGATAAAAATGACAACAGTGATGCAAATGATGATGACAATTCAGAAGATACTGAAAGTGAAAGTAAAGCTAATGAAAGTGATATTGCCAGTTCCAAAAAGAAGGGATCATCAACAGGTAGGTACTTCATATTTTTGGTATTCTACACTTGAATACATGTACTGGTATTTATTTTAGAGTGGGAGTGTGGGTGGGTGTGCACATGTGCACACGCACACGCTTACCTATATGTGGTCGCAGGGGTCAAGTAACAGCTCCTGGTCTTGCCTCTTTGCTGGTTGCTACTAGGTCCACTCTCTTCTGGCTCCAAGAGCTTTATCGTACCTCTTCTTAAAGCCGTGTCTGAATCCTGCCCCAACTTTTCACTCTCCAGATTGATCCACTTCCTGACAACTCTAAGGCTGAAGAAATACTTCTTAACATTCCTAGGACTTGCCTTTCCTTTGAACTTGTAGCTGCTGTGCCCTCGTAGTCCTGTTTCCCATCTCTCAAACATTCTGTCCCTTTTCACCTTGTCAGTTCCTCTCAGTATTTTGTATGTTATTGTGTTTTTTTCCTAGGTCTCCTGTTCTCCAGTGTCCTCAGGTTGAGTTCCCATAACCTCTCCTCATAGGACATACCCATTAGTTCGAGGACTAATTTTGTTAAAAACCTCTGCACTTTTTTCAATTTCTCGATATGCTTGACCTGGCATGGATTCCATACCGTGCTGTATACTCCAATATGAATCTGACTTGCACAATGTACAATGTTGTAAATGACTTCTTGTTTAGATGCTGAAAAACTATTCTTACATTTGCTAGACATGCATATGCTACAGCAGTTAGTTGGTTGATGTGCACCTCAGGTGATATGCTTGGTATGATAGTCATCCAAAGGTCCTTCTCCTTGAGTAAGGTTTGTAACCTTTTCCCCGAGCCTTACTCTGTCTGCGGTCTTCTTTGTCCTTCCCTAAGCTTCATTACTTTGCACTTGGTGGGGTTAAACTCCAGGAGCCATTTTTCGGACTAGGCCTGCAGCCTGTATAGATCCATTTGTAGCTTTTCCTGGTTTTCGTCCACTTGTCTTCTCGTTAGTTTCATGTTGTCTTTAAACAGGGACACCTTTGACTCTATCCCTTTCGTCATGTCATTGACATATACAAGACACATCACTGGCTTTAGGACTTATCCTTGTGGAACCCCACTTGCCACATACACCCATTCTGACACCTTTATGGACCATCACTCATTTCCTTCTCATTAGGTATGTCTTTGTTCCATTGTAGTGCTTTTCCTGTTATTCCTGCCTACTCTACTAGCTTTTCTACTAGCCTATTTGTGGTATTGTGGCAGAAGCCTTCTTACTGTCTAAGAAAATGCAATCTACCAGTCTCTCTCTCTCACCTGTTTTACTTGTGTTACCATGTTACATAACTACATGATCCAAGGCAGCCAGCTTTCATGACATAGGATATTCCATCCCTGAAACTGTGTTGGCTGTCATGTATGAACCCAGTCCTTTCTAGGTGCTGCACCACTTTTCTGATTATCTTCTGCATAACTTTATACAGTGGAACCTCAAAAATCGAACTTAATCCATTCCAGGAGCTAGTTCTAAATTCAAAAAGTCTGAAATTCGAAGCAATATTTCCCATAAGAAATAATGGAAATACAATTAATCCGTTCCAGAAAACCAAAAATATTCACACAAAAAATACATTTTATAGAGATTAATTACAGTTTTACATACAACAAATACTATAGTTTTTAATTATGTATAGTAATGTACATAAAAAATAACATTTTTACTTACCTTTATTGAAGCAATGGGCTAGTAACCCCTTCTCCTGTAGACATTTACTAAAAAAGAGAAGAAGAAAAACTTTATAAAACTGGGATGCTTGAATGTGCGTGGATGTAAATGATAATGGGAGCCCTTTGATTGAACTTTGTATAGAAAGGGGTTTAGTTATAGGTAATACATATTTTAAGAAAAAGAGGATAAATAAGTATACAAGATATGATGTAGGGCGAAATGACAGTAGTTTGTTGGATTATGTATTGGTAGATAAAAGACTGTTGAGTAGACTTCAGGATGTACATGTTTATAGAGGGGCCACAGATATATCAGATCACTTTCTAGTTGTAGCTACACTGAGAGTAAAAGGTAGATGGGATACAAGGAGAATAGAAACATCAGGGAAGAGAGAAGTGAAGGTTTATAAACTAAAAGAGGAGGCAGTTAGGGTAAGATATAAACAGCTATTGGAGGATAGATGGGCTAATGAGAACATAGGCAACGGAGTCGAAGAGGTATGGGGTAGGTTTAAAAAATGTAATGTTAGAGTGTTCAGCAGAAGTTTGTTGTTACAGGAAAGTGGGTGCGGGAGGGAAGAGGAGCGATTGGTGGAAAGATGATGTAAAGAGAGTAGTAAGGGAGAAAAAGTTAGCATATGAGAAGTTTTTACAAAGTAGAAGTGATGCAAGGAGGGAAGAGTATATGGAGAAAAAGAGAGAGGTTAAGAGAGTGGTGAAGCATTGTAAAACGAGAGCAAATGAGAGAGTGGGTGAGATGTTATCAACAAATTTTGTTGAAAATAAGAAAAAGTTTTGGAGTGAGATTAACAAGTTAAGGAAGCCTAGAGAACAAATGGATTTGTAAGTTAAAAATAGGAGAGGAGAGTTATTAAATGGAGAGTTAGAGGTACAGTGGTCCCTCATTTTTTGTAATTAATCCGTTCCTGGAGGAGCTACTATAAAAGAAATTTACGATTTGCGAATCAAATTTCCCCATAAGAAATAATGTAAATACAATTAATCCGTTCCTGGCACCCAGAAGTATTAAAACAAAAAATTTTTTTACATGAAATATACATGTAGTACATAAACAATACAATGGGAAATGATGAATGAAACATTAACAGCATAATACTTACCTTTATTGGAGATTCTTCTTAGTGTATGGGAGACAGGAGGAGGAGAGAGATTGGATTGTTTACAGTTTGGAAGGGGAATCCCCTTCCAGCAACACCTCAGGTACCAATTGCTTCTCTGGGGTTGCTTCTCTTCTCTGTTTCTTAATGCCACTAGGACCACCTTGAGAGTCACTCTAGTCCTGTCTCGCAAAGTAACTGTGGAGAGAGCTCTGTTTCTGGCGTCTCTTTAACACTTCCCTAAAATGGCCCAAGACTTTGTCACTGTACATATTTCTCACCTTCTTCACCACAGGCTTGGCACTAGGAGCTTTCTTTGGAGCCATGGTAGCTTATTTAGTATTTGCAAGAACTAAAATGAGTGGAATATTATGAAATATTTCATAGGAACACTTGAGGGGACCTTCACTCACTGGTAAACAATGCCAGACTGCCTGGGTAGGGAGGCCTCCCCGGCTCACACCGTGCGTATGCGTCCCGGACGAACTACTATTCGCGAGTCAACCTATGAAAAGCAAGTCCATGTTTATACGAAAATACCCCTATGATTGGTGAAATTTACGATTGCCGAGAACTACGAAAAGCAAGGGACCACTGTATTGGGAAGATGGAGGGAATATTTTGAGGAATTGTTAAATGTTGATGAAGATAGGGAAGCTGTGATTTCGTGTATAGGGCAAGGAGGAATAACATCTTGTAGGAGTGAGGAAGAGCCAGTTGTGAGTGTGGTGGAAGTTCGTGAGGCAGTAGGTAAAATGAAAGGGGGTAAGGCAGCCGGGTTTGATGGGATAAAGATAGAAATGTTAAAAGCAGGTGGGGATATAGCTTTGGAGTGGTTGGTGCAATTATTTAATAAATGTATGGATGAGGGTAAGGTACCTAGGGATTGGCAGAGAGCATGCATAGTTCCTTTGTATAAAGGCAAAGGGGAAAAAAGAGAGTGCAAAAAATATAGGGGGATAAGTCTGTTGAGTATACCTGGTAAAGTGTATGGTAGAGTTATTATTGAAAGAATTAAGAGTAAGATGGAGAATAGGATAGCAGATGAACAAGGAGGCTTTAGGAAAGGTAGGGGGTGTGTGAACCAGGTGTTTACAGTGAAACATATAAGTGAACAGTATTTAGATAAGGCTATAGAGGTCTTTGTGGCATTTATGGATTTGGAAAAGGTGTATGACAGGGTGGATAGGGAGGCAATGTGGCAGATGTTGCAGGTGTTTGGTATAAGGAGGTAGGTTACTGAAAGCAGTGAAGAGTTTTTACGAGGATAGTGAGGCTCAAGTTAGAGTATGTAGGAAAGAGGGAAATTATTTCCCAGTAAAAGTAGGCCTTAGACAAGGATGTGTGATGTCACCGTGGTTGTTTAATATATTTATAGATGGGGTTGTAAGAGAAGTAAATGCGAGGGTCTTGGCAAGAGGCGTGGAGTTATAAGATAAAGAATCACACATAAAGTGGGAGTTGTCACAGTTGCTCTTTGCTGATGACACTGTGCTCTTGGGAGATTCTGAAGAGAAGTTGCAGAGATTGGTGGATGAATTTGGTAGGGTATGCAAAAGAAGAAAATTAAAAGTGAATACAGGAAAGAGTAAGGTTATGAGGATAACAAAAAGATTAGGTGATGAAAGATTGGATATCAGATTGGAGGGAGAGAGTATGGTGGAGGTGAATGTATTCAGATATTTGGGAGTGGACGTGTCAGCGGATGGGTCTATGAAAGATGAGGTGAATCATAGAATTGATGAGGGGAAAGGGTGAGTGGTGCACTTAGGAGTCTGTGGAGACAAAGAACTTTGTCCTTGGAGGCAAAGAGGGGAATGTATGAGAGTATTGTTTTACCAACGGTCTTATATGGGTGTGAAGCATGGGTGATGAATGTTGCAGCGAGGAGAAGGCTGTAGGCAGTGGAGATGTCATCTCTGATGGCAATGTGTGGTGTGAATATAATGCAGAGAATTCTTAGTTTGGAAGTTAGGAGGAGGTGCGGGATTACCAAAACTGTTGTCCAGAGGGCTGAGGAAGGGTTGTTGAGGTGGTTCGGACATGTGGAGAGAATGGAGCAAAACAGAATGACTTCAAGAGTGTATCAGTCTGTAGTGGAAGGAAGACGGGGTAGGGGTCGGCCTAGGAAAGGTTGGAAGGAGGGGGTAAAGGAAGTTTTGTGTGCAAGGGGCTTGGACTTCCAGCAGGCATGCGTGAGCGT